TCATGAAATAAAATGATCATGTCCAGAAAAGTGGTTAACGGAATGCCAACACTTCCGAAAAGCTCGCGCACCCCCAGAAAGTTGATAGCGGGCCAGTTGGTGGTCCGCGCACCAAACTTTGAGAAATACTGTACTGTGCTATGCTGGGTGGTGCAGCCGATACATTTGCTCATTCCAGCACAGGCAGTGGTTGGAAGCCAGATTAAACTCACTCTCTTGGTTCTCCATCGTTAGGGTTTTAATGAGGGTGTCTCTTCAATCCTTAAAATGGATTCCCTCTATTCCACTGCCTAATCTCGATTGGCAGTCTACTGAATCAAAGATAATGGTGGGAACCCTAGTTGTTTTCCTGTCTAGGCCAAGGTAATCTGATGTACCTTGCCCGCACAACAAAACGTTAGATTGTACTGATACTCTGGCCATCGCAGAGAAAACCACCGATGCATGTTCTGATGCATAGTGCGTGGTGGAGAGGAGCGAGGATGTTGCTGCCCAGGTCTTCTGGTCTTCTCATTCCCTCTCTAAGGATTTCTCGGACCTATTATCCCTTTCTAACTTCACTTTAGCTCATGTTTTCAACCGACTAGTTTTGGGCCTTACCATTCCGAATGGATATGTAATTGTCTTCTAACTTCAGCTCACACAATCAAGGTGTGTCGCAAGCCATATACCGAAAAATTCAAAACCCACCAGACGGAAAACGAGTCCCTACGATTCTAGGTGCAATCCTAGATCTTCGCTGAAACTGGCATACCTCAAAGCGTTAGATATCTTATAGATCGTTCAAAAGTTGCTACTTACCTGAGCATTAGATACCCCATCGATCGATATATACTGCCTGCTGAAAACCCGCTTGTAAAAGCCGAGTTCCGTGTTAACTCTGCGATCCGCCACAAGCAACAACGGAGGTAGATTTCCATCGCAAATATCAAGAGATGACGCACAATCGGATACCGGCCAAGCCGGTGTAAGTATGATTTTGAACCTCCGGACTAAAGCTGCTTTGATCAAATGAATCCCAATTAGCAGCCGGATGTGCTCTGTCCAACCTGCTTTGCTGTGCAAAGCTCCGAAGTAGCACGAGACCAGTAGGTTCCTGTTTGCCATCGCTCTCTACACGCCAACAAAATACAGCGCTGACTCGGCGAAGATGACTTCTGTCAGCAACTGAACTAACTCCCTCATCTCAGCAGTAGGGGGTATCGTCTTGGTGGCTACTAACCTGAAAGCTCAAGTTGAAAAATCGTCTTACCATAAGTTCTACCTGGGAGGCCAACACGGTGTTGGATCTCTAATGAAGACCTTGAGTGGTTGCTACATTTGTGTAAAGACGCTGGTCCATTTATCGCAAAAATTATCATCTAACAGATCTGTCGTCCCGAAGTTAGATGACGTGCACCAGCTTCAGGTCAGCCATGGACATGAATCTGTTACATCACAACCAGCTAAAAACTGCCGTTTAGTTTGGCGCAAAGGAGTAATTGTATTTACCGATCTCCAGGTGCGTTTCGATAGACATCGGCAATTGTGTTGTGAGCACACAGACATTTGTCTAATGGCGATGTCTAATGTTCCAAGTCCCCATTACTTTAAATTGTCAGCTGGGTTAAGTAAACACTAACTGAACATGGTTGGAAGTCACTGGATGCGTGTTTATTAGTAGCAGGTTGACCTTCGTGTGTCGAGCTCAAATGGCAACTTCAGCAATTGGTCTCTAGGCAACCACGGAAACTTCAGGATGCTCGCCAACACACCGCGGCTGGGAGTGAACACAACGCGACTAGCAAAGTACTCAGGGCAAGCTCGAAGAGAGACCGCGAGGATTGATGGTCTCTTTGTGCATCGGAGGCGAAAATAGTCGCCAATCTTGGTAACCATTGCGAGTTGTTCCCTTTCACACGGGAATCAGATAGTAGATTTAATGTAAGGTGAAATTTATGCAAAGCGAGTGGACAGCCTATCCACAACCTGTCGAAAGGTTTGTAGCCTTGGTCTGAGGACTTTGAAAGCTATTTTACCAGCCGGAACTGGTAGGTTCATTGCTGGTCAATGATTGCACTTCTTCCTGGGCCTTCCCCGTGGATCTGCCTTCACGCGCAAAAGTCAAAGGTGAGATCGGACTGTGGAAGTCGAATAAGGCCGAGGGACCAGAGCAACTGTTTCTAGCCCCCTTCATATTCGGGGTATCAGATCTTGTGAATGATTTGCACAACTTACTAATGAAGCGGTGTGAGTAGAAGACTATCCCAACAAACTGGAGCTACTCCTTTATAGTCCCGATTTTCAACCCGGGCTTACATTCGGCATCCAAAAGTCAGAGACGAACCACTGCTACCTAAATAGCCTATATCCTTCATCCTAAGTTGACAGGCCATTATGAATGCAAAATTCTTCTACAGTAAAAAGGGCTTCACTGAAATCGAGGCTGCATATATTACATCCTCACTTAACATCAGTCGTTGAAGCACCACTACGTTTATTCTTGACCTACCGTAGTAGTGATCCATGGTGACTAAGGTGCCTTCGGTTCAGTGGATTGATGTAGTCCTTAGAACTGTCTTCATAATTAAGTAAATACAACAGGAATGCTTTATGCACTTAGTCCGGGCAGAGTGATGATTTATGCCAAAATCTATCCGTCTTTCCATATCTCCGTCAGTGTAAAACAAGGATATCAGTTGTCGTCTCTCCTGTTTAGTTTCCTTATTGACACAGTTAATAAGAATACTTTACTAAGCTGAACTTAGAAGGAGTTGGGTTGCTTCAACGTCCTCATCTTCTCAACTTGGAGTAGGTTCACGTTATTGCTCTAATCTATGACAGATCACAAGCTTGTGAACTAATGCTGCACCTAATTACACTGGCTTGGAATCGTTTTGGACAGTGTACTGCACCCTCAAAATACAAGCGCTCCCTCAAGTTTTGCATTAACCGACCCCTGCGTTGGCCATTTGTATCAGCCAGAAATCGATCATAAAACTCGCATACCTAGGTGGCTAGATCAGCGCCTGTGGACTAAAAGATGAACAAAAGCTCGGGACGGGAGTTTCGATGTTGCTGGCTACCAACACTGACGTCCTATGTCGGACTCATCAGGTAGGGATAGTCTAATAAAAAATGCAACTGGGTATCTAATGGTTAGCTGTCATTCACTTGATTTGTAGGCAACCATCGACACGGTTGGTAAATTAGTGCCTAAATTATAGGAGTTCGAGATGCTTTTCCTCAACTCCACTACTTGAGCTTGGGATGCGATGGAACTGTCCTTTTGCAATATGGAGCCACTATGGAGCCACCTACATAGTTGTGAAATTGGACGCATAAGTTTCACAAACATAAAGCGGCTGGTTGCGTTCGACCATGGACGCCTTTGAAATTAAGTTCAAATCTGGCGAGAGCCTCCATTGACAAATAAACGTGTTCGTCATCTTGAAGGTGTTTCGGTGTTGCTGTTACCAACTCTGACACCAAATGGGGTGTCAGGGTTCGTAGGTGCAACTATGAAACACCTCCACTTCGGATGCGGCCTTTGTGATCGGAATGACCGTGTTCTACTTCAAAGTGAACCGAGGTCACAATAGAGAATGCTTGTCGCAATCCAAATCCACGGCGGGTAGTTCAAATTCAACTTTGTGTTCGTCATATCCTTTGTATTGTATTAAGAGCAAGTGAACCGCTCTGCACCGTTATATCACTCATCAGATTGCGACATCTGGTCGATGTCTTACTCATGCTAACGCATCGACTCCAGCTACCCGCGTTGTTCGCGCGACTGGGGTGTGGATGTAATAAGAGGAGAGAAGGCCAACCGACGACATGTGCAAGAGGAATGAAGTCCATTACTTCGAACTTGGTGTCGGTTGGTGTCTCCCGACTGTCGGGCTGGGTCCGAAAACAACGAACCCCTTTGGTTGGATGTAATTGTTGACATGGCGAAGAATCGACGTCAATAGCGTTTGTGTTGTACGTTTCTTTGTCCTGCCCCCCGCCAGCTTAGCTTTGCTGTCCAGCCACGATCGTTTTACTAAGGCATGACAGAACAAATAGTCATACTGTTTGTCCAGTTTTTCGTTTCTTTTTACGGTCGTCCTATTACATTATAATGCTACACAGCAGCTGAGTTTCGCGCTCCTGGATATCGGGTTGGATAAATGAGGGAACGACCAAATTTTCTCTCTTAAAATTCTCCCACCAAATTCAGGCCAATGAATTCCTTGGTGACGCGAAAACCCGTTACTGATTCAACGAATCAATAACTACAACAAGGCACCCTACCAAGAAGGCATATTCTAATGCATTAAAAGGTGCAATGGCACCTGTCATTTGCTTATTTAAACCCCCTCATTAATGTTTTGAAATTGGCCATTGTGCATTGACTCTAATTAATTGACGATATGTACACACGTTTGATGGTTTTCGGAGGTGTACACAGTTTGATGTGCGCCCTCTTCAGCATGTAGTGAGCGCAAGTATCTGTCTACCGAATTTTCATTTGACCGGAAACACCAGGTCAGCCACGTAGCTTTAGAATAAAATTCATAAGCCTGGCATGTGTTTGCGATGCGTTCTACGGCATGACACTTATTGGTAACGATCTGCGGTTTTATCTCTGTGCGTGAATTTCAGAGGCACCAATCAAGTTTGTGCAGACAGTGCAATAGAACTGATGTGCAAGTGTGTGCTGTCGAGGTTGTGCGGTACTCCAGTTGCGACAGATGCACTCTTCCTATATACCGGTGCTTAATTGTGTTGATGCTGGCTTTACTATTATCCATAATAATGTTACAAGGGAGGGTGGAGAGCAGCACCTCCCATTCAGCAATCTTGCTCATCAACTCGTGTCTAGGCGATCGTGCAGTGACTCACCATCAGGTTGTAGAGAAAATCTAATTTCTAATGGCTTGAAGAGAATCCATAAAATTGTTGCACACTCCAAATAGTTCCGTTTATGTGAGTACCTTGAAGATAATCAGGCCTTTGTTTACATACATTATAACCAGAAACTCCAACCGGACGACTGGACAGCTGCTACGAGCCATCCCCTGTCAAAACCTGCCGCTGAGACGCTGGCTCCAAAGGAGAAACAAATGAAGAAGTACCAAACGCTGCATTCTGAACTACTGCTCAGTGTTTCGTACAGCTCAACAACGGGAAAACTCGAGTGCGCAGTTTTAAAAGCCCACGGAATTCACCTACCTTACAAATTATCAGAGGCACCAAGTGCGTGGACACTAATTTTTCACGGTAACTTATCGATTTACGTCAACCCATTAATGGTCGACGCATACTGATAGGATACAGGCGCGTATCACACTGCTGAGTATTATGAGCAGTTGACTTCGGGGAAGGAGGACGATGAGTATTCGGTTTGACTGAGTTAAAGTTTGGACGCATATCAAACACACTGTAGCCCCATAACATAAGCAAGTTAGCAGATTGGTCACGGTAATAGCTCAGAGAACCAAGAATACAGCAGCCACTTCATATAATGCTGCTCATCAGATGCTTGAGTGCGCCAGTTGTGGAAGCCCGAATGGGTATGCTCAAAGCCTTGAACACAAGCTTTAACTCAATTGACATGATTCCTTGGTACTCCGAGTACCTTAACTTCAACTGGTCACAGGAATCAAAAGGTAGTGCAAACTTCTTCGAACAACAATGTGAAATAAATTCACTTAGAGGTTGAACTTCCTCAGTATCCTCAGTATAACGGATCAAAGAATCTGCTGACTTGATGCCAATATGGTGACCTAAATGTAAATACTATTTGTACCGTAACGGATATATGTAGACACATAATGGATAACCACTTCCAAGGCGGTGAGCTTTTAGAAACACATTCACACAAATGCCACAAATAACTGTGCTCCACTTCAGCTGATGAATGAAGGATTAGCCTTTCAAGTGAGTTATATATTAGGACAGATAATGTTAGAAGCGAAACTAGATAATTTTGATCCACTATATTGGGGGATGTATGAAACTCGTTCTGGATGGACACGGATTCTTGGCCAAGTTAAACTGCGGGATTAATCTAACCCTGACCTGCGTTACGAGGTACTAAGCATGAAAGTATTACACCACTCACTTCGTAGGTAAATAATGTGAAAATACATTTTTCCGCGTAACACTTAATGCCACTTTGGGGAAGCCTCAATGTCACAAATGTACGCTAAACTCAAGGTATCCCCATTACACCTCCTTCCACACAGATTCGTTCGTCCAAGTGCAGGTTGTTTCAAGAGATGGGAGCGCTTTGTCTGTTGGTAAATCGAAGATTGTCAAACGTTCATACACCCCTTCATTCGAGGAAACCTTCGTCTTCAGCGTGCATCCTGGGCAAATTGGCGAAGTAACGCTGGTGATCAACGTTTATCACAAGAAAACCACGGGTAGAAAAACCAAACTGGGTTGGTTATCGATGGGTAAGTTCTAAGAGCTGGAACCCATTTCACATGTTTATGGAAAGAGCAGCTTGGTTGAGTTACATCATGCTACATTGATGTGTGAGAGAAAGTTAGTAACTATCTGGCGGTCTTTCACAGGCATTTTGATCATTGGAATCTCACGAACACTATAGGCTAAACTGAATTGACAGGCCGATATGCAGTTGATGCGAATCGGACTAATTCACGTCATTATACATGCAGGTTGGTTTAGGAGTGGAAAAACCCAGCGCACTCATGCTCCCTCCCGCTTCACTGTTGCTTGATATTTGGGATGGGACAGTTGGGAGACAGCCAAGAGCGTTCACCCTGCGGTGCGCCTCACTATAATGCTTTCTCAGACCGGTGCAGAGAGGATCCAAGAGCCGTGAGATGTTGCAAAGCATCAGTATCAACCCAGGATCGTGAACAATCACTATAGTTATGCGGGTCGCATCACACCAGACTTTGAAGTATGAAGTACTACATCCACTGTGGCAAAAACAGGGCAGACAACTTCCAGAAACAATCAATGAGACATTTGAAACGTGGTCCGCGAAAGGCTGTCAAGCGCGCTACGTTGTTTGAAACTGCGTCCTTAACGGTACACTGCAAGTTATTTCTGTGACGGTGTACTCTTGGACATATGGATTCAAAAACCTGATCAAATAGGCTCCACTACAGACACCTTAGCGCACAGCTCATAAAGTCGTCAAAAGTCTGTAAGTCATTGAGATGCTTAACAGCGCCTGATATTGGGTTGTGACTGTGGGACCAGCGCAGACCTAAGAATCGTCAATTTACAAACTGGCATAATGCCAAAATGGTGTTACGACCGGTGACTGCACAAAGCATTTGGGCTGCTGAGTGTCGAACCAGACGGTCAGAGGTCATGCTTTGTTTTTATGCGTCTGCACAAATGACCGAACACAGAATCGTGCGATTTGTGCATTCCTCTTACACCGGGTCAGCCAGCCGCTACTACTTCTAGTCTCACATTGTGCGATGTTGGTGTGATCCAGTTGACATCTACTGCAGTTACACGCGGGTGCCATCATTACTTCAGAACAAATTATTGCGTCCGACCTACAAACCGGGGAATGCGATGAGGGTAACTGCTTGCTTTCATGTATTATTGAACCAATGAACCAGTGCATTTGTGATAAAATCCTAAAGTTTAGTAATTGCGACTGCTTGATAAATTCAAAGTTTAATTTATATCTTCTTTGGCGAAATTTGTTCACCCAAGAATAAAAGGTGCAGCAGGGTACGGATGTCCAGCAGGATTGGACTCATGTAAGGTAGTGAGTTAAAAGCAGCAACATTGCTGTAGTTATAATGACTGCATGGCGAACCACACATAAACTCATTGCGGCACCTATCAACAGCGCAGGAAGAATCAGTTCTGGAGCAATGTTGGGCTACCGAAGACGGTGGGATGCTATGGTAATAGTCGTAGGATTCCTGTGGCATCCTCAAGGTCGCGGCTTCGCCGGTTGCTTCGCAGGTTTGCTAGCTGTCCGCATCTGAACGAGTGTGTCCGATGACGGCTCGACCAACCATTGATTGTTAGTCTAACGTGCGAGCAAGTGTATCATAACATATAACAGTGTTCGGATTACGGACATGAATTGTTCTGGTACAAAACATGGTTCATTGTGACAAAATAAACACACTTGCCTGCCCAGCAACTCATGTTCCGGAATGTGCACAGTTACAAAAAGTCCAAGCAATTCGCCAGCCAAGTTATACTTTCTGGACATTCCGCCCTTGCATAGCTGCGACTCTACAGAACTGTACTTTAACTTAGTGGGTCCCAATGGTGGAAGCATACCTATTCATGTCACATCAACTTTGGTACGGAGTTGGGTTTACACTAACTGGTCGTGCAAAGAGTGGATGTTGCTGAGATCAGGGTGCGAAGAGTGATCATAAGCTATCGGTGTAACCACCGAGTTGTGGTCACTTCTCCGAGTATAATCTATAAACGATTGCTCGATCAGATACATCTAATGCACCAACAATCTTGTAGTAAAAGCATCTTGAGGATCAATGTTTCATGGAGGACTAGCTCACAGCGAGTTTCATAAGCATACTGCCTACTGGTGGAAAACCAAGTCCAGGTCGGAACCTGCCCCTAACGCTACTGAAAGATGATCGTATTTTTCATGCATCGACCAACCAGCAGCATCGTGGTCCAACAGACAACATTACTGGTACAACTGCTCAAACGCACATAGTAACTATGTCGTGGACAACCTGCTAATAGCCCAAGCGTTATCATTATTACTGTTGGGATTACAGCCATCCAGCACCTTCGACATTATGATGAGCAAGGAACGTCTATTGGCACAATAACGTCTCGAGTGCAACTACTTAGTCTGGATTTTGGATGCAAACTAGTAATAAACAAAATATTGCCATTTGACCCGAGCAAACAACACTATTATGGGCGAAATTCCCGACAAACTAAAACTACGAGTTTACCTGACTGCTAAGCTTGGATCTGGGAGAATAAGATGTTTTCGGCACCGTTTTTATATGATTGAAATAATACCTTAACCAACCTCATCCCCAGAAGGACCATAAAAAAGTAAAACACCGCCGCTACATAAAACCCCTTTAAATCTGTAAACATTTCTAATTAAGGTGGTATCATGAGAACAGTCCCGGCAGCAAAAACCTCGATAATGAGGTGTGCGTTTTACAGAGCACGGATTGTCTGATCCTATAATAATATGTTCAAGGTATGATTAATTTGGTCTTTTAACCTTTTCTGATTCATGTCAGTAAATACCAGGTAACAACGAGTGATAAATCTGTTTTACAATTTACAGGGCTGGAAAACGTTTCTAGTGTCCAAAAACAGCATTGGGATGAAATATTATCTTCACGCGGGCAACGTGTGGCACGTTGGCATTCTCTGGTGGATCCGACCTGAATAACATTCATGGCTAATAGGACATACAATGAAGAAAGTCTGGATTCTAGCCATCGTGTTCATTTTTAATACTTTTCCTTCCATTGAGTATGGAGTACCAAAGTCGTTGTTCCCATCAGAGTGCATGGATTCCCCCTTCAAACACACATACACGTTCAATTGCTGACACAGATATCTCTAGCAGAAAAGGATTTGCAGCCACACACTGGTTGAAAACGCGGTGATGCGAATTGTGAAGAGAGAAAGCGGATCGGCGCCTAACCTCTGCCAGCTGTAGTGAGCGGGCAGAGAGCGTCGACAGTGAGGTCAATAATGTCCAAATGACCATCGGAACGCATCGAACTGTGTGCCATACGATTCATAAAGAAAGTGAGATGCTCGACTCAGGGAATGACGTCACCGTAGTGACACCTCTGTCACAGTCTAGCGCCTATCTCAACATTTCAGCCCTGAAAGCAGTGAGATGGGAGAAGTTTGCTGACAGGTGAATAGAAGGTTGACAGTTTGCGGGTGCATTGATTTACATAAGTAGCCATACAATGGTAGTGATGAAGGAACTCAGTGCGTAGAGTGATATGTCACTAGCTTCACAACCTGTAGGCAGAGGTAAAGTGAATTGTTCTGGCAAATAATCTATTTGCTTGTGGTGGGATGTTCAGTGGAGAATTGTAAGTTGTATGGGCTTAACATTCGAATGGCGTTTTCACCAACGGACAAAGCAGGAGAAAAAATGGTTACTTGTAAAGCGAACAACGGATAGTAGATGATCGCAAAAAGATGGAGACACGTGACAGCGCGAAAAGCGATCGCGTCAGCGGAACATTGTCAGAGTAAATTGAAACAATAGACAATGAAACAATGGTTTTTTACGGGCAAAATAGCAAACACTTAACATATCCCGTAGGACAGCCATGGTGAATATTTAACATATATGAACATTGTAGCAAAAGTAAGGTCAAACCGGTGAAATTACCGCAGTATAGGTATCATAGAGTGTAAGCCCATTGTAGTTCCATAAGGAACGATTACAAACGGGGTGTCGGTAAAAATCATGCCACCTCCTGATTAACACAAACAGGTGAAAAGGGTGGAACGTATTCTGGAAGGTGACCGTCAGTGAAACATCGCACAAGCACTCATGTTTGGTCATGGGCAATGTGACATGGTGCACAAAATGAGTGCATAATCAAGTCGAATTTGAAAACTCTGCCAGCGTGAAAGTCCAGACGACAGATTCCAGTAGGGCTTTGCACTCCTTGCAAACGAGTACAGAAAAGCAATTGTGATAGCATCCTAAAGGACTGTATTGCTCTGCCAGCTTATTTTGTCCTCTTAGATAATTGCTGTGATTGATCTCAAGCAAATGGCAGCGAGTGGCGTTGGGATCCCTCAAAATTTGGCAAGTCGAAATAAAGACCTCACGCAATCGCCGATATTGTCCACTGAAGACCCCAAGCACTTTCAGCCTTTGTTCATGAGGAAAGTGGTACAAACCTTCGACCTTCTTAATTGCGCCCAGTTAAGCTATCTCCAAGGCGGTGAGATCTCTCCTCAACCATGACTGCCAGACCAGTATTGCGTATTCCACATGTAGACGTATGTATGAGCCGAAAAACTGGAGCCTTGACGCATCGAATCGTCCTAATGCACGCCGTAGGAGGTCCAACTGTTGGGTACGCCTTGTGAGGCCGTTTCAGTCAGGTTCGATCATTCAAAGTCGACCTGGACCAAAACGCAAAATCCTTTTTGTTAGAAGGCATTTAGAGCTCCCGGTTTCTGAGTGTGTAGCAGCACGCTCCTTGGTTCCGTAAGTGCAGCACTCTACATTTTTCAACATTGAATCCACCACGAGTAAACTCTATCCAGATCAGCATGAAGTAATGTATTGATCACCCTCTACACCTTGATGTCATCGGAGTTTATGAGGCGTGCGGTATCGTTGACATACATAAAAACAACCTTAGTCCTCGTACAGATTTTAGTGGTACTCTGCATTCACCTTGGATGGGATCTGATAGGGATTCTCGCAATCTCACCTCCAAGCTCCAGCATTGGAGAAAGCTTTTAATCCACACTATGAGAGGACCACCAATACCATAGATGTAGTGTTCGGAGGGTAGAATACCATGGTCTAACAAGCCAAATGCCCTTGAGAAGTAGAAAAACTACATCAACTCCCATATCAGTGTCTAATGTCTCGGTTCAGCTGGATCGTGTTAGCAGTAGATTTGTAGTGCATGATTGATTTCATTGGAAGCCACGTTGTTCTGGTGCAGAGTAGTTAAATTCTTCCAATTCTTCGGATAATAACAGCCAGTACAGAGGTAACAAAACCATCTAACCTATACTATCCTAGCAAAATGTTAATTTTCACAAAAGACTCCATTTCGAAATACAGTTATTGTGGCCTGGGTGGCCGGAGGGCCATTGACTGTTTTGCTGTTTAGCAGCGCCTCGCCGTCGGCCAGCGTTTGGTCGCCGATTGTCAGGTCAAGGGAAGAAGAGTAGAGCATCGCATAATGTGTGTTATATGTTCGTGCGTCAGAATAAGGACCTGTTTCAAGCAGAAGTACTTATTGTGTCAGACATAAATAATACAAGGTGCACCCGTTCCGACAAACAAGACGTCCATGCATCTTCGCTATCCCTATTGGAGGTTACATGGCGCGGTTTCCTTCTGTGTCTAAAGGTTGTGTAGAGTGCATTGGTTATGCGTCCACACCTCGTGTGCATAAAAATGCGGTTCTAAAGTGTTCCTCTTTTGAGGGGAGTCACTACGGTCTGTTGATGGTTGGTTGCGTTTCGCATTCTGACCTTTCCAAGCTGCTGCTAACTGGTAGAGTAGTGCCTGCCTTTATTCCACTACACACCCCTTTCAAACCGTTCGGCCCAGCTGCTTTCAGTCTAATTCTTTCTGACTGTCTGGGACGTTCACTGTGTGAAAGAGCCACTTCCTCTGACTTTTGCCACTTCCTCAACTCACTGGAATGCACTCCTCGTGAATCTTCTTGCCGAGTGATTGTATACACTGGGCCTCAACGGTTAACCACCTCGTACAGATCGTTCCACTTCGGTAGGAGCTTCCCTTCCCATAACCCACAAGTGGGAGCGTGTTGATTGTCCCTGTCTTTTACCTTCGAACCGATCCGAAACTTGACTCTCACATCACCATTGTTGGTCTGGGACTTCTCCATCCTCCGCAAGTATGTCTCGACCTCGCTGTTCATGCTCGGCCATTAGATGCTTTGGTTCAGCAGATTGTAGGTCGTGAAACTACTGGCATGTGTCACCTCGTGACAAGAAATCACCAGCCTGAGTCTTAGTTTCGTCGGAATAACCGGCACCGAATTGTTGCTACCTCTGGGTATTCACATCAGGATCCCCGCTTCAAGTACTTGTTGTTTTTCAAGATTTTTCGCAAACGCTCCGAGCTGCTTGTGTTGACTCTTCTTTAGGACTGATTGACCTGTTATTCGTGAGGTGATCACATTGCTCAAGAGTTTGTCACTAAGTTGTTCGGCCGACAACTGTCCAGAATCCTGCTCCCATAGTATACCATTAATACGGAAAGCCACAGTCGGCAGGTCATCGTTGTAGATGACAGGTGAAAAAATCCGCAGTTTGTTTCTCCTTCAACGACACGTGGTTTATCGTGAAGTCGTATTTCAAGCGCCCATCTCGTTAGCTTTCCCCTGGAGTCTTTGACAGAAATAATTAATTCCAAAGGCTTATTGTCTGTTTCGACGGGAAATCGCCGAGGTAGCAGATATGGTGTAGTATGCCCATTTTTATTATATATTGCAAGAAGAAACGCAAGCGGTACGCTTAAAGCGAACAATTGTTTTCGATTTATTCATCATCAGGCTTTGTACAGAAATATACGTTGAGAAGCGGAGTTCATATGGGAAACAAAGAGTAACTATTGATTGAACAAAACATTTTAAGTGCTTAACGTAACGTGTCAGGTGGTCAGGTGACTGAAGGCATGTGATACCAGTGAGTGAAGTCCGATTCATCTCTATTACTGGCTGGCCAGGGTAGTTGTAAGGCTTGTATATGTTGCTTCTGAATGCATAGGTTTGGTTTTGTCAACCTGATGCATACTGCTTCAGCGGTAGCGAGTAGCCGAGCTCCTGACCGATGGTGTAGCTGTGATGGAACTCGATAGATGATCTCAAAAGACTTGCGCTTATCAATCAGATGATTGGTGCAGATCAGATGGTTGGTTATGGCACTCAACTGAGTTTTCTCTCGTTGGGTGGCGAGTGACGTTGGTAAATGTTCCTTGATTCGCTTTTCCAAATGTCTGGTCGTGCGCCCAATGTACCTAGCCCCACAGGAGCAGGTAAACCGGTAGACTACCATTGATTGGCGTTGATCAGGCATCTTGTCTTTGAACCTAGGAACAAAGAGCGAACTGCTTGTAAAAACGATCCTCAGTTGAGCTGCATTAAAGGTCTTTCGGCAAGTCTTTATCAGTCGTCGTGTGCATATTTCCGCCGGTATGTCACCTTTAAAGGGGAGTTGGAGCAATAGCTGTTTCTTTTCCGCTGTTTGTACTGTTGGTTTTGGCCTACTCGACTTCATATGAACGTCAATGAATTGTTCTGGATAACCGTTTTCGCGAAGTGTTTGCTTGATTTGTTTCATTTCTTCTTCAATTGTGTCCTCACTGCAGATTTTCCGTGCACGATTGGCTAGGGTATGCACCAGTGTTCTTTTTCGGCTTATTGGTACAAAACTTCGGAAGTGTGTGTACTGGCCTGTCCAATACGGCTTTCGATAGACTCCTATCTGAATTGATCCATCGTCTCGTCGCTTTAAGTTTGCATCTAAAAAGTGCATTTGGTTATCCATTTCTTCTTCAATTGTGAATGTAGCGTTGGGATGTGCCTTGTTAAAACACTCGACGACATATTGCAAGTTGTTCGTCTGTTCAATTATGCAGATATGGTCTCCATTTGTCCAACGCCTACACGACGGCGAGATATTCCTTCTCTATCGTAGTGTTTTTGCGTTTTGCTGGTGCCAAAATTCTGCCGGCGTGCTCAATCGTCCAATGGCTTTGTTTCAAAACCATACCGACTGCGACGTCACTGGCATCGATAGCCACTGTGAACATCTCTCTAACAATGGACAATTTCAGGGTCAGCACTTGCCTTCCC